CAGATCCTCAGTCGGGTGTCCACCAAATTGGTTGTTCTGCACCATCGAGATATAAGAAGGCTTCAATTCAAAATTATTCGCATTGACGGGTATATGCACAATCCCGCCAAAATTCTTGTTAAATTCAGGCCGAAAGTGGTCACGAATGGCTTGCTTTTGTTGTTCTTGCTCTGCCATTATGCACTTAGACTTGCCCTTTCTTTTTCTAGTTGTTGCACTATTGCGTCTACCGAATGCTTCAACTTCGTCAATCAGGGGTTGTAGTGGTGCACTTTTAGAGCGAGTTAACATGCACGTCCTGAAATCAAGAATAAGAAAGATTATGTCACAAATAAATAAAAAAAATATCTAAATTAAATTTTCACTACCTATCCTAATATTGATATAACTAATTAGATTGGTCCCCGGCAACGGCGCCAAAAACTTGTTCGCCTATATTTTTAAATGTCGACCGCAAGTGTACGGCTTCGCTCGTAGTATGTGGCAAGCAAGGTAGTATCCCAAGAGACCAAACAACCAATTAATCAAATACTAGATAATGAAAGTGCCAATATTATTTAGACGATCGAATATAAGATTGATTAACTAAACTAAGCAAATAAATCAAAAGATAAGAAATCAATAACAAGAAAACAACTAGAAAAACACTTAAGAAGAATATATGGGAATGGTAGATTCTAAGACTATGGGTTCAATTAACAGTTGGGTTCCTTCAGATATATCAAAATTAACTATTTTCTTTATCCACCCTATAAGATGGTCACAAAATTAGCCTATCGTCCCTCTCGAGATCGATAAAACCGTAGATGAAATCACATATATTAGCGTCTCCACTCAACACATGCAATTCAACTCCAAAAAGGTTAAAAGATCTAAAATCCTCACAATTACCTACTGATCTCTCGATTCAAGCAAGTAAATTATGTCAAGTATTAAAGACCTAATATTGAACTCATCTCTCGAATTATGAACAATATTGTCAAACATGTAAAAGAATTGATCAAGTTCTAAACATGGAATAAGAACAAAATACTTGAATAGGGTTCAAAAGAAAAACAATCAATTATAAATAAATCATCCAAAATTCCAATATATTAATCTACTACCAAGTCTTAGAATCAAAGAAATCTAGCTACTCATGTTCTTCAAACACATAGACATATTCGGAATCAATATGATCAAATAACTTCAAAAGAGAAGAAGAAATAAAAACTAGGAATCTCGTCGATCTTGCAATCTTCTTGATTCCTTCGTAGTTGATCTTGCTTTTGCTCCTCAATTGCTTTCCTTGTGTGTTCTAAGCCTTTCTCCTTCTGTTCTCTATGTTCCTCCCTCAGAATAGGGTTAATATGCTCTTTTTAATGTCCAAAACTCCTCTCCTTATCAAAAAAGGTAAGATATTAAAAACTGTTCGCGCACGCGACACGACCTGACACGCCCGTGTCGCGGGTCGTGTCGCAGGTCGTGTCACATGTTCTATACTTACACTTCTCTGTTTGGATGACACGGGTGATGACACAACCTCGGAGACCGTGTCACGGGTCGTGTCACACCACTGTATGCTCATTTTCGACTCTTTTCGCTCGTTTCTTCCATTCTCTTCATCCGTGCATCGATCTATCATTATCCCGGGAGTCTCAGGCACTCACTATGCTCCTCCAATAGCCAAAGCACTAAAAATATGTGAAAAATATCTACAAAACAAGCACGTGTAATACCTTTCCAACAAATATATAATTAAGCACAATAATGCAATTTATACACCAATAATGCGACAATTAAGCTCTAGATACTATATGAATATGGTGTAAAATCACACATGAACAACATGATCTCCCACGGCATAAACATGCTCCTGCCTCTTCCGGTCGGCATAGACCTTCTGCCTCTCCTGGGCAGACCAGATAGTCCTTCGAATCTCCTCGACTGTCGCAGCAGTACTCTGGACAAAATCTGGGCCAGTAATCCTCCTCTCTCCAACCTCATCCCAATACAAAGGAGTCCGGACCTTACGTCCGTACAAAGCCTCGTACGGGGCCATCTTGATCGAAGAGTGGTAACTGTTGTTGTAGGTCAACTCGACTCACGGAAGGGCATATTCCCATGTTAGGCTCCGGTCCAAGACCACAACCCTCAAGATATCCTCCAAGTATTGGATCGTACGCTCTGACTGACCATCTGTCTCGGGGTGAAAGGTTCTACTGAACTGTAACCTTGTCCCCATGGCTCGGTGCAACGTCCTCCAGAACTGACATTTGAACTTTGGATCTCGATCAGAAACAATCTCCACAGGCACTCCATGAAGCTTAACAATGTCCTTGACGAACAATTCAGCGTAATCACTCGCCTTCATGGTCGTCCGGACTGGCAGAAAATGGGCAGACTTCTTAAGGCGATCCACTATTACCCAAATCGAATCATACCCGGGCCTCGACCTCGGCAGTCCAACTAAAAAATCCATGGTGATGCACTCCCACTTCCACAGGGGAACCTCAAAGGGCTGCAACAACCCTCTCGGTTTCTGGTGCTCAGCCTTCACTTGCTGACACACCAGGCACCCATCCACGAACTTCGCTATCTGCCACTTCATGCCACGCCACCAGAAAGACTTCTTCAAGTTCTGATACATCTTCGTGCTACCAGGATGGATGGTGTACGGAGCACTATGGGCCTCTCTCAGAATCTCTCTTCGCAGTTCCCACATCTTCGGAACACAAAGTCTACCCTCGAAGACCAAGGCCCCATCAGATGCGACTGTGAATTCACCAACTTTACCGGCTTCGGACAACTCCCTCATCCGGCATAAGAAACGGTCATTCGGTTGCTCGGCGACTATTCTCTCTCGAAGAGTCAGTCCTACAACCAAAAAGGCCAACACGCCCCCGACTATCGAAGTCGACTCCACTGCCTCTAGCTGTAATCGCTCGAACTCCCGAAGAAGGACATCCTGCCCAGTAAACAAGCAAGATAGCTGGCCATAACTCCTCCGACTAAGGGCATCGGCTACCACATTAGCTTTCCCAGGGTGATAGCTAATGGTGCAGTCACAGTCCTTGACCAGCTCCAACCATCTACGTTGTCTCATGTTCAGCTCCTTCTGAGTGATAATGTACTTTAGGCTCTTGTAGTCGGTAAAGATCTCACACTTGCCTCCGTAGAGGTAGTGCCGCCAAATCTTCAAGGCGTGGACAACTGCAGCTAACTCGAGATCATGAGTGGGCTAGTTCTGCTCGTGAGGCTTCAGCTGCCTCGAAGCATAGGCTACGACTTTCCCCTGCTGCATGAGAACACAACCCAAACCCATCTTCGAAGCATCACTATAGATGGTGAACTCCAAAGTAGGGTCGGGTATAGATAAGACTGGCGCGTTAGTGAGTCTCCTCTTCAACTCCTGAAAACTCTCCTCGCACTAAGGACTCCAATCGAACCTCATGACCTTCTTCGTAAGGTTAGTCAGTGGCTGGGCTATCTTCGAGAAGCCCTCGATAAACCTCTTGTAGTATCTTGCTAACCCCAGGAAACTACGAACAACCGCGGCACTTCTTGGGGTATCCCACTTGCTCACTGCCTCAATCTTGCTGGGATCCACCTCAATGCCTCGAGCTGTCACAATGTGGCCAAGGAATGCCACACGGTTCAGCCAGAATTTGCACTTCGAGAACTTAGCATACAACTTATCGCGGCGAAGAGTCTCTAGCACAATCCTCAGATGCTCCTTGTGCTGGTCGATATCTCGGGAATAGACCAGAATGTCGTCGATGAACACAATGACGAACTGGTCCAGGAAAGGATGAAAGACCCTATTCATAAGGTCCATGAAAACGGCTGGGGCATTTCTGAGTCCGAACGGCATGACTACAAACAAATACTGGCCATAGCGGGTACGGAATGTGGTCTTAGAAATTTCCGACTCTCGGATCTTCAGCTGATGATAGCCAGAACCCAAGTCAATCTTTGAGAAAATGCTGGCTCCCCTCAGCTGGTCGAAAAGGTCCTCAATACGGGGAAGGGGGTACTTGTTCTTGACTGTAAGGGCATTCAACTCCCGGTAGTCAATGCACATGCGCATAGATCTGTCTTTCTTCTTCACGAATAGGACGGGCGCACCCCACGGCGAGACACTCGGACGAATGAAACCGAGTTTGAGAAACTCCTGGATCTGGGCCTTGAGCTCTTGAAGCTCCTTCGGCGCCATATGATAAGGGGCCTTAGAATCGGGGCCAGCTCCGGGAATTAGGTCAATGGTGAACTCCACCTGGCGGTCTGGTGGTCCTCCGGGTAAGTCATCAGGAAACACATCGAGATACTCACAAACAATGGATACTCTCTCGGGCACCCGCTCGTCAACAACGTCGGATACCATGGAAACAAGATAGTCTTGACAGCTACCCTTGGAAAGGCTCTTCCTAGCTTGCATAAAAGAGATTACTCGAGGCACAGTCCTCGAATTCACCCCATAGAACACAACAGGCTGGTCGAAAACGGGATAGAGGGTGACTTCGCGCTCCTGGCACCGGATATCGGCTCGGTAACGGGTGAGCCAGTCCATGCCTAAGATCACATCAAAGTCTCGCATTTCAATTATATAGACGTCGGCCTCCAGAACTCGACCACCAATACAGATAGGAAGATTGTGAACCACCGAATCAGAGATAATAATTTTTCCCACGGCTAAACTAACCTCGAGAGGATCATAAGCATGCACGGTGCCAATAGATAAAGCCTCCAAGCAATGAGAAAAAATAAAAGAATGGGTAGCACCGGTATCACATAAAGCAAATACAGGCACATGGGATATCGAAAGCATTCCGGACATGGTACCTGCATTGCGGGCGGCCTCATCATGGGTGATGGTATAGACTCGGGCCTGACCCCCAGCCCTCTACTGGAACGGTGGGGGCTGCT